ATTGGCAAACTAAGAAAAAAATTTGCAAGAATAACAAGTTAGAAATTGTTGCTATTATTGCCAGTACTTCTATTATTTCCATTACTGTACCGTTATTATCGATATTCCTATATTCGTTGTAGATATTTGTCCACTTTGAGTTGATGTTAGTATGTTTGGTATATTAATAGTAGGTATAAAAGAACTAGTACCTGAAGATACATTAGCTAGATTGTTCATAACCTGTATATAGTCAAAATAAAATGACCTGTTAGACATGATCAAGGCCAATTGGTTTGAAATCAAACTATCATGATGCTTATTGTTTTTTTCTCCAACCGATGTATCTGAAGAGTGAGAAAATATATCACTATTAGAAGCTGATTTTGACATATCGGAGACACCAAATGGTCTTGAAATATTCTGGAATTTCGGCATGACAAGATGTGAACAATAATTTTTTAATATCTTAAGAAACATTGATTTGCTGAATGGCTTGGCAAGAATATCATTCATTCTATGTGAAAGATAAAAACTACAATCTTGGTGTGATACTAATAATTGGTATGGAGCTATCGAAATATCTAATTTGAACTTTTGCCTTAACACCTAAATTTATATTATAGTAAATCATAAGATTAATAACATTAGAGAAATAAGATTCTAAAAAAGAAACTTATCATCCAACTTTGGTAAAACAATTTCCTATAAATTGCACGTGGCAATATTAGAAAGTTAATCAAATCAGGTTTGCAACGCAGTAACGAAGAGCAAAACTTTATGACTTACCATGAAGACAAGATTATATTTACTAATCTTCATTTGATTAACAGCACCAATTCTATCTACTGCAATGTTAAACCAAATTTTTGGTATACCAAGTTATCATCTACTAGAAGAACTTTTGGATGAATATACCAGACTGGTACAAATGTACTACGGTGAATACACATATTATTAGAAGCATATTGTGAAGTATTTCTAACACGTAGAGCTTTGCATTTGAAGCAGAGATAATATTTGATGACGATGAAGCATGTGATTGTTTGGCTTATATACACCAAATGTGTTGTTGGTTAGTGGTCACAAAAACAGTAACCGGTTAACTATAAATATTAAGCGTACGTACGTACCTAAATTTGGTGCGTTTACATTTCTTCCAACAGTAGGTGATGTCACAAAATAATTATGAATTGTGTATCAATACTATATGGTGAGCTGACAGTCACACGAGAAGTTGTATTTTGTGCATTCTGCATGTTAATTTCATAAAGTTGCTGCATGTTAATTTCATCATATTGAAACCATGATTGTTCGTCTGATGCTTCGATCCTGACTCTCTTATTTTCAGGTGATGAACTAATCAAAGTTGATAATGTTGCTTGGTCGTTATTATTTTTATCATTTGTTGATGAAATTTCACACT